TCGCGACGGAACCTTCTGCAGTGATTAAAGAACATATGAAAATTGGAGAAAAATTGTACAGCACAATAATGGAAACACTGGCAGAAAATATAATTGTTATAGAAAACGATCTTATTTTGTTTGAAGAAGCCGATGAAGAAGGTCTGTTCGAAGAAGTCGAAAAGATTCTGGATTACAATCAGACGACGAGTACCACCCAGATGAAAAAAGGTCGAAAATTGATACGGATGACATTCCGCTTGATTATAAAATAAAGGTGGTTAATTTGGCGAAAGAGCACCCAAAATGGAGCCTGAAAAATCTGCAAAAAAAAGGGAAGTTCCCGTCTGAAGAGAATGGATCAGTTGAAAATATGCGAGGAACAAATTAGGAGAGGTGGATCCACGAAAGATAAATATACAACAATTGATAAATGGACTCATGATCGCTTTGTGGAAGCTCGTCAATCCAACCAGCGTCACGACGAGGAACTTGCAGCAATGGGCTCTAGCTGCTGCCAGCCAATTTCCGGATTTGGAATTTAAAGCTTCAGAGGCGTGGATCAAGATCTTCAAACGAAAACACCGAATTCGACAAAGAAAAATAACGAAATTTGTGTCGGAGAGAGAAACCGCGACAATGGAGGAGACCCATGCTGCTGCAGAAAAGTTTCGTCTCCATACACGAGCCCTCATCCCGAACTACGACAAGGATTTTGTCCTCAACACCGACCAAACAGGTATTCGGGATTTTTTCTTTCATACCAAAGTAAAATATCATGTAGACAATGAAATACTTATATTTTACTCTTTTTGTCCAGGGTGCCAATACCAATCGACGTACAACCGAACCCTCGCAGAGCAAGGATCGAAGGTTGTGCTTGTTAAGCGGAAGGATATGAATAAGGTCACGCATTCGTATACCGCACAATATGTTATGACCCTATCCGGAAAACTACTTCCAACGGTTTTCATCTGTCTGCAAGAGGCAAATGGAAACTTTGGACCGAGGGTGCAAAAATCAGTCGACGAGTATGCGAAAATATATACAAACGTTGCCATTACATCTCAAAGTCTGGCAAGCTGACAACAGCATTGTACAAAGATTTTCTGATCGATGTGATGAAGCCATATGTGAAGGAAGAAAAGTTTCTTTTCCTAATTGATTCTTGGGGAGGGCAAACAAACCCGGTTTTGTATGACGAAATTTTCACAGATGATAAGGGTATACCAATTTGCACCATGAAAGTAATACCACCAAAATGCACTCCATTAGTGCAGCCGTGTGATGTTTATTTTTACCGGCAAGTGAAGAACTTTATCAAGAGACTACAGAACTGCGCTTACATTATCGAACAGGATAGAGAAATATCTTCCAGAGAAGATTGTATCAAAATTCAGTCTCTCGTACACCATCAATTGTCGGCACCAATTTTCTGCTGCATGTTAAAATACGCGTGGTTTGCCGCCAAATTGTGCGATGACCGGACATCGTTCATGAACGTGAACGAAGTTTGCTTTCGGATAGATGTGCTAAAAATTCCTGCGAATGCAACAATTCGGCATTTATCACTTGCGCAAGATTCCGCAATAACTATTGTTTTCCTGCTTCTATGACCGATATCATCCTACTTCGTGCAGTAATTCGGCGCTCAAACAGCACTATAGTGAATAGAAAATAGGGTAGAATAAATAGTTGTACAAAATACTGGGAATAAAAGTATTAATTCTTCAATCTCCTGTATATGATTTTTTTCAGAATCCTTTTTTTTTCCGTTAAAAAAATAAATTATACAATTGATTCCAAAATAAATATTATTCAAGACACCTAAATTTGTAAAAAATATGAAATATTAGAAAAAAAAAATCGAATTCACTGGCGGGTTTCGATCCAACGATCCCGCGTTTACGAAGCAGGGCTCTTACCGCTACGCTACGCGCTCGTTGAATTTTGGCTAACGTAAAACGCATATGAACACACGCAACTCGAATTTCGATTAATTAATTTCTCGGAAACGGCTGAGAAGCTCACCTTACTACTTGCATCCGTTGTACTCCTGGTTATGCCCTACACGTGTACTAAAAATGGATCGAATCGGTGATCCATGCATCGTATCCTCCCCTTGTTAGTTTAAATACACGAAATATTTTATCATAATTACATTTGATATAAGATAAACGTTATTACGATGGAAACCAAATACAAAATAAATCTGACATATTTATATCACTTAGCGCTCAAAAATATGTAAAATTAAATCGAAAATATCCCGATTATTTATTCCAAGAGGTTACATAAACTAATATTTGTTCATTTTCCTTGAATTTAAGCAATATAAATGGAGCAATGCGTATTATACGCATTCACAACTGCCACAAATGACTTTTTGTTTTCGTGGGGTTAATATTCAAATCGGATAACGGTAAAAAGAAAAGCTAATATATCTTAAAGGGGAGCTTTTCATTTATGTGAAAGTATCCTTCAAAATATCGTCATTAATCAAACGTGTGTAAGTTCCATATTACTTAACCCTAAAGTACAAAGGCATTTATTCTAGAAAGATTTTGACTTTTAAAAAGTTTAGAGAAAGGGAATCGTCCATTAACGAAATCAAGAGACAATAGTGGATGCTTTCTTCTTAAGAGAGATTTCATTTTTTCTTCCATTTTCGTTATTGTGAATGGAAAAAATAATAAAGATGAGAAGTCTTGACTGCGAAAAGGTAAAGATAAATGGGAACTAGAAAAGAGGCGATTAATCATCTATCAAAGCACATCGGATGATTTGAGGATCAAGAAATCTTAATATTCACTGAAAGGGATGATGCATTTGATGGGAGTTAAGAGTGAGAATAAAGAAAGTATTATTCAAGAGAAAGAGATTCGTTGAGATGTATATTAAACTGTGTTGGGAACCATGATTTTGCTAAAGCGTATAAACTAACATATACGCTTATTAATGTATATTACTTATGTAATATTACTAAAGGGAATTATATATATATATATATATATATATATATATATATATATATATATATATATATATATATATGTATATAATATAATTCTCTCTAGTATCTCCCCTTTCCAGTAACTTTTAATTCTTTAGTCCAGTCTTTCAGGACTTACGCTGTGATGTACCTCCCCTTGGAAATACATCCCTCGAAGTATCAGCGTGAGCTAGAGGTGTAGGGTTATCGTAAGAACTAGAATCAAACATTATCTTAATATGACTTTATTAAGATATTCAACTTAAACTTTGAACAAATATAATGTTATAAATTAATGAATGAGAGAATCTACGATGACGCAATACGCAACACACAATATAATACAGACCAATCTCAATAATTTGTGTGTGTGTGTGAACCGCCTAATCTTCAAATATAATAATAATAAGTAATCAATCCTACCTTTTATTATTCTGTAATAAACTTGTCTTTATCTATAGTGGTAAGTAGCTTTACGTTTAACTTCTAAACGATCACCAATATGTTTATCCACAACACGTAGAACTTGAATCTTTGAACGTCGAACTTCAATAATCATCCAATACCACAACGCACAACAATTGTCAAACATTCCTTTACACTACCATTACATTGCCATCATTGCCTTTATTGCCATCACGCTTACTCTAAGATCCTATATTTATCCTATATTATTTGCATCTCTTCACTTCTCGTTTCTTGGATTTGGTTGGAAAACAGTTGCCATTAATTCTGGCCCAAAGAATCCAAAGGACTTGTTAAAGAAAAGACGCGTAAGTCGTCACAACGCGTTAAATTATTTTAACCTGTCTGCCCGTATGATCGGGATTTTAATCGTAATCGAATAGTAACATTGCCTCAGAAACTAGCTTCCGCCAGTTTCTGGGCCACTGTAGCCGAGTGGTCAAGGTATCGGATCGTGGTTGACCTTGTCACGAGTTCGAGCCTATCACCACTAAAGACCCGCCGTGTAGGGGAACAATGCACGTTAAATCTGTCGAGGGCTCAAAAGTCCTCCCGTGGTGTGGTGTGGTAGTTAGGAGAGGGGCATGCCAGCTCAGGTGTCGTCCACGCCACTTGACCATGGTTCAAAATTACGTGGTCCGTCGCCAAAAGCCCTCGTGTAGCTAAACAGAGCGACATTAATATTCAATCAATGAATCAATCAAAAGCGACATTAATATTCACTCACTCACCCTCCAGTTTCTGAAGAATCATGGCTTCTGTTAGAAAAAAACCATGCGACCTTCAAGTCCAGTATTAAAGGCAAGAGTTCTTTGTTTTTCACTCTCTTTGTCTCCTTGTCTTCGTCTAGAAAATGCGCTAATCGGCTGTAGCTTGTATTATTTTTGTGTGTATTATATCATAGTATGCTTCTAGTGATGTCGTAACGCTGTATGCTTTAATGTGAAAATAAAGAGGAGTTAACAGTACAAAGGATTACCCCGTCAATATAAAAAACATAAGAAAACATCCACATTCAAAAATATTCGACATTAAAAGCCTAATCCTCACTCTCCAGGATTACTATATATATATTTATATTTAGTGTTACTTGAATAAAATAGAACCTGCTTTTGTGCGGTCATTTTTTATGCGATTTTAATTTTTGCTATTTTTTGTGCTATATTCTTTTATGCGATTCAAAATGCTCTGTCTGCTTATTAAAAACAGTTTCTCGACAATGCACATTCAATTGCTTTCTCTCAACGCACTAGCAGCACGTACTTAATTCTTTTAGAGCGGATAAACCATACGCAAAGAATCAGCTTTTGAAAAAATCCGAAAAATATTTCCATAAAATAGATACATATTGCAAACAGAGTTTAAATTTCCCAAAGGAGATAAGATCATACATTTCTGGTTTTCGTGAAATTTTAAAGCAAATAATCAAAACATCGTCGTCGCAAAAACTTACTTATACAGCTAAAAATAAATAAAATGAAAGTCTATCTCATTCGTCCTATTTACTTTACGATCTTAAGTGATTTTTAAGTTGTGCTTGTAAACAAATAACATTGTGGTGTCCGGGGGCGTAGCTCAGGTTATAGAGCGCTCGATTAGCATGCGAGAGATTCGGGGATCAATACACGACGCCTCCATTTACCGTTTTTTGCACTAAAATATACATTCAATCAATTTCTGCTTGAAAACAATTTGATTCATATTTCTATTTTTGTTATAAATATTACGAATCAAGCAAAATTTTCAAATTAGTTCAAAATCTATCAAAGGGGTTCTCTATCTCCTATTCACTCAATTCTAGTTTCTCTTTCGCAGAAACTTTAATTCAACCATTTAATTCATGCTGTTGTGTGAGTTTTAAGTTGGGCTTATTTGCAATAAACGAGATGGAGTTCGGCGGCGTAGCTCAGATGGTAGAGCGCTCGCTTAGCATTCGATAGGTACGGGGATCGATACACCGCGCCTCCAGAGGCATTTTTTTGCACTAACATATAGATGCATTCACTTTCTGCATAAAGTCAATTTGATTAATATTGTAAATAATCTTCCACTTTCTATTCCTTTTGATGACTAAGAATAGCAAATTTTACAAATTATCTAATAAAGGTTGTGATATTTTTTTTGTGATAAATACTATGAATTCAGCAAAATTCATGTCTCCTATTCATCAATGTGCAGAAGCTTTAATTTCAAAATCTCTTAAACCTTCTTTGACTTATATTCACTCAATTTTCTAGTTTCTCTTCAGCTACAACTTTAATTATCCCATTTACTTTATGATCTTGTGTGGGTGTTAATTTGTGCTTGCTTACAATAAACAAGACGGTGTGTGGTGTTCAAAATCTCTTAAACTTTCCCTGTCTCCTACTCACTCAATTCTAGTTTCTCTTCCTCAGTAACTGTAATTATCCGATTTACTTTGATCTTAAGTGAGTGTTAAGTTTTTCTTAATTAAATAAACAAGATGATATGCGGGCGCGTAGCTCAGATGGTAGAGCGCTTGCTTACCATGCGAGAGGTACGAGGATCGATACCCCGCGCCTCCAAGGGTTACTTTTTGCACATATATATATATATTCCATCAATATTTGCCTGAAATCTATTTGATTAATGTTGTAAATAATCTTCTGCATTTAATTTCTTTTGATAACGAAAAGTCTGATATTTCTCTTTGTGTGATAAATATTAAGAATCAAGCAAAATTCGTCGAATTACGTCAAAATCTTTCCAACGTTCTCTCTCTGTGTGTCACCTATTTCCTCAATTCTGGTTTCTGAGCAGAATTTTTAAGTGTCCCATTTACAGTATGATCCAGTGTGAGACTTAAGTTGTATTTGTTTAAAATAAACCAAATGATACCCGGGTTCGTAGCTCGGGTGTTAGAGCGATCGCTTATCATGCGAGAGGTCCGGGGGTCGATGCCCCGCCCCACCAAATGTATTTTGTGCACTAACATATAGATGCATTCATTTTCTGATTAAAGTCAATTTGATTAATATTGTAAATAATCTTCCACTTTCTATTCCTTTGATGACTAAGTGTGTGATATTTTATTTATTGTGATAAATACTATGAATCCAGCAAAACACATCAATGTATTTCAAAATCTCCTAAACGTTCTTTGACTCATATTCACTCAATTCTAGTTTCTCTCAAGCTAAAATTTTAATTATCCCATTTACTTAATGATCTTGTGGGGGTGTTAATTTGTGCTTCCTTACAATAAACAAGACGGTGTGTGGAGGCGTAGCTCAGATGGTATAGCGCTCGCGTAGCATGCGAGAGGTACGGAAATCGATACCCCGCGCCTCCAAGTCCCTTTTTTGCACTAATCTATACATGCATTCATTTTCTGCTTAAATTCAGTTAGATTAATATTGTAAATAATCTTCCACTTTCTATTCCTTTTGATGACTAAGTGTCTGATATTTTTATTGTGATAAGTACTACGAATGAAGTAAAATTCATCAAATTATTTCAAAATTTTTTAAACGTTCTCTGTCTCGTATTCACTCAATTCTAGTTTCTCTCCCGCAGTAACTTTAATTATCCGATTTACTTTATGATCGTAAGTGAGTGTTAAGGTGTGCTTACTTAAATAGACACTATGTTGTCCGGTGACGTAGCTAAGATGGTAGAGCTCTGGCTTAGCATGCGAGAGGTAAGGAAGTCGATTCCCCGCGCCTTCATTTGCCGTTTTTTGCACTAAAATATACATTCAATCAATTACTTCTTGAAATCAATTTGACTAATATTTCTATTTTTGCGATAAATATTATGAATCAAGCAAAATTTTTAAATATTTTCAAAATCTATCAAAGGTTCTCTGTCTCCTATTGACTTAATTCTAGTTACTTTTGTAGAAGCTTTAATTCTCCCATTTAATTCATGCTGTTGTGTGAGTGTTAAGTTGTGATTACTTACAATAAACGAGATGGTGTCCGGAGGCGTAGCTCAAATGGCAGAGCGCTCGCTTAGCACGCGAGAGGTACGGGGTTCGATACTTCGCGCCTCCATATGCCTTTTTTTGCACTATCATGTAGATGCATTCACTTTCTGCTTAAAGTCAATTTGATTAATATTGTAAATAATCTTCCACTTTCTATTCCTTTTGATGACTAAGTGTGTGATATTTTTCTTATTGTGATAAATACTATGAATCCAGCAAAATTCATCAATGTATTTCAAAATCTCTTAAACGTTCTTTGACTCATATTCACTCAATTCTAGTTTCTCTCCCGCTATAACTTTAATTAATCCCATTTACTTAATGATCTTGTGTGGGTGTACATTTGTGCTTGCTTACAATAAACAAGACGGTGTGTGGGGGAGTAGCTCAGAAGATAGAGCGCTCGCTTAACATGAGAAAGGTACGGGGAACGATACCCCGCGCATCCAAATGCCTTTTTTTGCATAAGGTTATAGATGCATTCATTTTCTGCATAAAGTCAATTTGATTAATATTGTAAATAATATTCAACATTCTATTCCTTTTGATGACTAAGTGTGTGGTATTTTTCTTTTTGTGATAAATACTATGAATTCAAGCAAATTTCATCAATGTATTTCAAAATCTCTTAAATGTTCTTTGACTTATATTCACTCTCAATTCCAGTTTCTCTCCAGCTATAACTTTAATTATCCCATTTTACTTTATGATCTTGTGTGGGTGTTAAGTTGTGATTACTTACAATAAACGAGATGGTGTCCGGAGGCGTAGCTCAAATGGCAGAGCGCTCGCTTAGCACGCGAGAGGTACGGGGTTCGATACTTCGCGCCTCCATATGCCTTTTTTTTGCACTACATTTGCATCTACATGAGTAGATGCATTCACTTTCTGCTTAAAGTCAATTTGATTAATATTGTAAATAATCTTCCACTGTCTATTCCTTTTGATGACTAAGTGTGTGATACTTTTCTTATTGTGATAAATACTATGAATCCAGCGTGAAGTGAAGTGAATGCTGGGTTTAGTGGCGCAAGGGCCAACTTTGGCCAAGCTGCGCCAAACACTTGTTAAAATAAAAGTCGTATAAGTGTAAAAATATATATGTTTTAAAAGTAAATGTACACACGTATATGCATGCATGCATGTATACATACATGAAATATATTAAAAATACAATGAAATATACAAATCAAATTAAATGTAAAACTCCAATTTTTAAAAGAAAGGCAAAAAGGTTTTGGTGGAGAGTGTCCCCACCAAGTCAGACAAGTCTGAAAAATAGACAAATGAAAAAAAGGGACTGCTCTAACATAGTTTAAAATTCAACGTTTCATGAAAAAAATGTTAGTTATTACTGTTTCTGAATCGAGTGGGAGTTAATGCACGCATTTATTCACTAGGATTGTTCACAAAACATTCCATCATGGCAAATTTATCCTCAGGATTTGGCTCTAGTTCCTCCGCCTGCACATCATACATAATCATATCGTCCTCATCAGTTGTTGACTCTGTAGGTGTTGACTTTCGAGGTCTATGTGGAGCCATTTGGATTTTAATTTCTGCTTTCTGTACTTTTGGACGCTTTCTTCTCTATTTCTTGAATTTCGTTTGGCACACTGTGGGACTTCAGGTGCATTAAAATGTTCACCATTGGATGCAGTAGGGTCAGATTCTGGTAAGGGTTGAATTTCAGTTGAAAGCCGCCGCGCGCGCGCCGCGCAGCAGATTTATTAGATCTTATAAGAGTGCAGGTTTCAGCTGATAAAGATGAGGCAGAGGTATTCAGGTTATTGTCAGGGGCAGCAGCAGAAGAAATTGGTTTAGGTAACCGAGATGCAATTTTTGTGGTTGGTTTTATTGAAGATGCGGAGGGCAAGAGGTTTGCCTGAGTGGTAGACGACGATGTGGAATTTGAAGTAATTGAAGGAGATGCATTTGGATGAGGTACGGATAATAGAGGTTTAAGTATTTGTAAAGGCGGGCACTTGACTTTAGTAATATTTTCATCTGTTTGTGTTGTACTGGTAGCAATGGAGGGTTTGGCAACTTGAGCGTAAGTTTGGAAGAACTGCGGGACAATTAATTTTCGGGCTTCAAAGTAGGATATGTTTCTATTTGTTTTAATGGTTTGAATTTCCTTTTCAGTTTTCCATTTAGGACAAAGTTTGCGATCGGCGGTATGAATCTGTGAACAGATAATGCATTTTGGTTCTAGGGTACAATCTGTAGAAGAATGCCCTACAACTGCACACCTAGAACATGTAAGTTGTCCGCGGCAGGAATTTTGAGAATGACCGAACCTCTGGCACTTAAAGCAGCGCAGAGGATTCGGTTTATATGGACGTAATTTACAATTTAGGTAACCAGCTTTAATATTTGATGGTAATTTAGGGCTATTGAAAGTTAAAATTAAATGTTTAGTTGGAAAAAGTGACGTTTCTTTTTTTATTTTAATTCTTCTGACTTCAGTAACCCCTTGGTCAGAAAGTCCGTCCAAGATTTCTGCATCGGAGGCGCACAAAAGATCTGTTTCAGATATCACACCACGACAAGAATTTAAGGATCTATGAAGATTTACAATTAACGGACAGTCTAAAAATGTTTTGGTTAACAAGAGAGTTCGTTATTAAGGCAGATGACGTTTCGATAAGCAAATCACCAGAACGTAATTTTTTGACCGATTTGGGTTCGCCGCTTATTCCTTGAATAGCTTTATGAATTGCAAATGGTGACTTTTGTAACATTTCATTGTTAGGAAGAGATAGAATTAAAAAACGAGCATGTGTTCGGAAACTTTATCGATGGTGTGAGAGGGTAATACAAGGCTTGTACCATCCATGGGCTGAGCATCATGTGTTGGGAAGGGTGGGATGGGGGTTTTAAAAGATGCGTTTTGAATTTTTTTCTTATTTTGACTTATTTTGAATTTTTTTCGAAAGGAGGAGGAGAATTCCTTTTGATTTTCAGAGGACCAGTTTGGCCGGGCTTGCCCTAGAGACAGAAACCAGTAGTGGCCTCGGGAGAGCCCCCCGCTCTGCAATGCAGGACCCCATCCAGGCACCACCTGGAACTACAAGACAGGTGGGATTATACACCAGCTGATATAGCAGCCAGGACATGCTGGTTAGGCTGTCCCGGGCTCCTGTACTATCTGGCGGCCTGAGACGCAAAACTCAGCTTTTCTCCTGTACCCTCTAAATGGCCGCCTCCTCCAAGACCCCACCTCACTAGTCCAAAGGTCCTCAAAAGTTCAAAACCCCGCTCCAAGTGCCAGATTTCCCAGGGAGCAGTCCGTTGTGTCATCATACTAAAAGTGAAAAAACATCAGATACAACTTCATTCCACTCAGTCCAGGTCTTCCACTGGACTTCGTGGCAGAAAAATAAAGATAATAAGTTGAACACAAAAAAATCAATAATCGAACATAAAAGAAGCAACAAAATCAAAACATTGAAAGAAATTTGTTACACTTATTGGTAAGCTAATTTAAATTTTGCAAAGCTAGCAGTGAAATTTATGTGTCGAGGAGGCATGAAGACGAAAAACAGTTTCTTAAAAATTGGCCTTTAATAATCAATCATAAAGTCACTCTGCTCGTTACTAGAGCGATAAAATCAATAAATCCAAAAAGCAACATTACCAGTGACATCCGATTCGAACCGTCTTCTAATATTATAAAATTAATTTCTAATCTAAAATGGTGATGCAACCTGCAGTTGCATTGCCAACCAGTTGTTCTCTCCCTCTAAGAGTTAAACCACTCACACACTTCTTATATTTCCGTTTCTCCTTCCTTTTTTAAAAACTAACATGAACCGAGTTTAAATACTAGCTCGATTTGCATGGCAGTTGCTGCCAACCTCAAATCACGAAACTCAAAAAGATCGGGTTCGAATCGGTGTGCTTACTTTCATTGAGATCATGGAACGGGATTGGAAAAACAACACAAGGAGATCATAAAAATTTGGATCCGATTTTTTTTTTTAAATGTCTAACAATCGGCCCCCTTTTCCAATCTCGCACCATTATCTCTTACAAATCAGTAAATTAATTTTAATCTATAATCACATGTTATACAATTTAACACAAAAATACATTTTATTCACAATCTTTATTGTAATAAACAAACTAATATTTTAATCTTAAAGAAACAAAGTCTTATTCTCTAAAAAGAAATAATTTTCTACAAAATTCTAACAATTTTATTATTTTCATCATATTTAATGGTATAAACCCAACGGTTTTCTAAAATTTTTATATTATCCGGATGATCAACTAAATCCCAAACTTTACGTTCCTTCATTACGTTAATTTCTTTATCCATTGCATCATGCCATTTAGATGCGTCTCTGGATCTTATCGCC